TTAATAAAAGTTATATTAAACACTTAGTTAATTAATTTATTAAGTTTATAAGGTAAATAATATTTTATTAATTAAATAGAATAAGTGTTTTAATTAAAGAATTATATTTTAATTTTATTTATTTAATTAATTGAGTTAGTGATATAATTAAAATATTTTTAGAAAGAATAGACAGTTGGTTAGAGAAGAGTCTCGAGTTGCACTCTTATGTCTAACCTAAAGACTTATTTATAATAAGAAAAAAAAGAATTAATTCATATATATGCTTCAATTTTTAAAACACTAAGAATACCTATAGAGAAAAATCCCAAAGAGCACGTGGAGTAGTTATTGAATAACGAAGATTGTGTCAATTGCCTTGAAAGTTGTTATCTAAAAAACTAATAAGGAAATACAAGCTATCATGACTTAGGAAGGTGTGATGAGAACTAGAAAAACACCATAGGATATCACAAACGATGAGTAACAACAAAGAAGAAAACCTAGAGGAGGCATCTGGAAAGAGAGCAAAGTAGTAACTAGGGCTATGAAGAACACTCTTGTGTTATAAAAACATCACTTAAGTCAAGGGGAGTGAAAATATTTCATTCATGAGCACATATGAGGGGTATGTGTAATAAGATGATCCCTAAACTTCTTAGAATGTTAATTGTATTGTTGTGAAATGCATATTTGTATGTTCTTAAATTGATCTATCACTTTGTCTTAGTAAATTCCTCAATTATATGATGATTTATTTAAATGGATGTGTTGGAGGTTAGGTTTGGATGTATGATTTGAGAGTTTAATGTGATTTATTTAATTATGAAAATTCTAGTATAAACATATCTTGGTATAATGATGATGTGAGTATGAAATTGTGTTGATGACAACATAATGTATGAAGTGATGTTGATGGTGGTGATGTTGATGTTGATGAGATATGTAAGTTCAGGTTGTGACTAGGCAATGATGAAATCCAAATAAGGCGTGATGGTTTGTGGAGAAGTCCAAGGTTGTTATATGACAAAGAATCACCACATGATTATTACATATATGTGTTATGATTTTTGGAGTTCATGCATACATATTTTGTTACAAGATAGTATGAGTTAATACAGGTAGGTCTCAAAGGTCATCTAATTAGACCTTTAGGGGTGTTATGGTTGGGGGAGCCCCTAGTAGAAATGAGAGGTAATCATGGTCGATTATAATACTATGATAAAACCTAATAGATGTCACCTGATTGAGGATGGATAAGGATCACCTACGATGGGGTGGTCCCATCACTTACAATGGGGTGGTCCCATCCTCTACAATGGGGTGATCCGTTCCATGGCTCTTATGCTATCTAGAGATGATGATAAGGAGGAGGAAATTTGTACCACATGCATATAGAATTAAGCACACACATTTGCACAAGTTTATGTATTATAATTGTGATTGATTGGATTACATGAATAATTGTCATCATTGATGAATGATTAAATGAATGTAGAGTGATTGTGTAGTTGGGGTGAGTGTTGTCTTATGTTAGATACAAATATAGATACATGTATGAATCTTAAGTATATGATGTATGTTTAGTGCTATTTTTATGACTTATATATGCTATATATAAATGAGATGT